TGGCTTGCTTACTCACTTTCTCTATCTCTCTTTCTCTTTCTGCATGTATGTCTCTCTCTGGTCAAATTAGAAATAAACGAATGAATAAATAAAATTAAATAAATAATTATTTTTTAAAAAGTATACAAAGACAGTTGATGCAAATATGGCAGAAAGAATACTCGACTTGGATGCCATGCTTCTTGCTGCGAGCTGGCTAAGTAAATTTAGCCAGATGACTCTCGGTCTTTGCATTGGAAATCATGAAAACATGATTGGTTTCTCAAGTTTCGGTTTTGCAAAGTTGCCAGTACCCACCAATTAATGGGCATTGTGTCAGTGTTGACCTTGAGGTGTTGAAGATCCTTTGTTCATTGCTGCAACTTGAGGCTGCCGTGGAAAGAGGCCGTCAAGTCCAAAGATGCACACAGCTCAGGACGCTCCTCGCTGACTTCCTTGGCCAGCCGCTCCTTGAGATTCATAAAGTCCTTGACAAATACCATATGGCGATCATAGAAAAAAAAAGAAAGTACGGATAGGAAGAAGGGAAAAAAATGACTAGAGTGTCTGTTAGGTGGGAGTAAAACACATTCACGTTTCAATGAGTAACTTTCTAGACTTTTTATTATACAAGTAGGTACCGTCATTTTTTTTTTTTTTTCAGAAATGGGTATTATTATAACCTGGTTTTCTCTCTCAGCAGTGTAGTGAATGCTTTGCTGTACTCATAAATACACAGCTACTTTTATTTATATGTTTATTTTTTAAGTTTGCTCATTTATTTCTCCCATGAGGGGATGGAGGAGGGGAAAGAGACAGAAAGACAGGCATCCCCAACAGGAGTCATGCCATAACCTATCCCAAACTCAGCCAGCCCCAGCAGCTGACGTGTCTAGGGAGGCCTCGGGACGAAAACACAGGACCTTCCCCCACATGGGTCAGCATCACAGTGTTGTGTTGTTGGTGTTTCACTGCCTGGCCCCAGCAACTGTGTTCTTTACTGACTGTAACATTGTGTTCCAATATATGACTATACCACGATTTGCTTTATGTCTGTCTCTTAAAAAAATTTGCAAGATCAGCAGATAGTGTAATGGTTATGTTGTAGGACTTCCACATGGTTGACTGCAGTTCAAGTCCTGGGCCAGGTGGCTTAAAACTCATGTTGAGCATGTGTGCATATGTGTCCAAAACCCCAAGAGGAAAATGAAGGAGAGGGGATTACAGTGTGGCCATCCACCCTGGGGGGTGATTTCTTGATTTCTATCTCTGTCTCTCTGGGAAGCATACCGCCCTATAGCAAAAATCTCTCTCTAAAAAAAAATTTTTTTTTTTGCTCTAGGACACATGCACTCATTGAAGACAGGGACAGAGACAGGGAGTGAGAAAGAACCCCCCAGGAAGGATGGCCACACTGTAGTCCATTTTCTTTTATTCTCCTTTCTGGATTTTTTTTTTTTGGGGGCGGAGAGGTTTTTCGCTATAGGGCGCGTGCGCTCGCCAGACAGACAGAGAGGGACAGAGAGACAGAAAGTGAGAAATCACCCCCAGGGCGGATGGCAGCGCTGCAATCCCTTCTCCTCCATTCTCCTCTCGGGATCTTGGGCATGCACACACACGCGCCCGGCGTGAGTTTTAAGCCACCGGGTCCAGGAGGGACTACATGGGAGTCCAGCGACATAGTCATTATGCTAACTGCTGGTCCCTCCGTTCTGGATTTTTGGCATGCTTGCACACATGCCCAGCATGTTTTTCAACCCACTGGGTCTGGGACTTGAACTGCATGGTTGACCATGTATGCCAACTGTACGTATGTATGTTTGCCTCCTCTTTCCTCTTCATCACAGTTTAGACATCCACAGAGTCTGTGGTCCTGAGTTATTTTGTTGTTCTTCTTGCCATTTGAGTTTTTACTGCTCTTCTCAAGCCCAGACTCCCCGATTCCTCTCCTTTTGTTCTCCTCAGATGCTTTGCACCAACTTCCTGGATAAAGTAGAGGTCATGAGGTGTAACTTCCCTAAGCATTCTTTCATTTTACTTCAAAATGTGTTTTTACTCTCACATGTCATGGTGTTTCTCCACAGAGCTATACATACCTTCTCTGTCAGGGCACATGTCCAAGAGGAAGACTTATTCCCATCCTCTTTCCAGAGGTATCTTCTCACTTTATTTTTTAAAAAGAATTATTTATTTAATTTTATTTATTCATTTATTTACTTATTTTAATTTGAACAGAGAGAGAGAAAGAGGGAAAGCATGCCACCAGTTCTGGGACTTGAACCATGGTTGGCCATGTGGGAGTGACCAGTGCCTTAGCCACTATGCCACCTGCTGGTCCCGTTTGGTTTTGTTTTCCCAGAGTGAGTATGTGCTCACTAAAGGGAGAGTTAGAGAAAGAGAGAGAGAGAGAGAGACTCCTAATGGGGTGTGGTCATGTCAGAACCCTTTTTCCTCCATCTTTCCATCGCCTCAGGATTTTGGGCACACACACACACACACACACACACACACACACACACACTTTGTGTTCTTCAAGGTTTATGGATTTATTTCTTCCATGAGAGAGACAGGCAACCCCAACAGGGTCTTCACACTTCAGCCTACCCCCAGTCTCAGCTGACCTGGGTTGCAGGCGTGTACATCTATGCCAAGTGTCTTCAGGGAGGTCGTGGGATGTGAGAACGGGTCCTTTCCCTTTGCAGTTCAGTTGCATTATCACTGTGCCACTGCCTACCCCCTGTTCTTGACTGTGTATTACTCCATCAATAATTTCTAATCCCAATTCCTTCTGCATTCTCTGACATCCCAAGGAATAGCCTGCATGGTAGATTTAGGTGGTTACGGAAATTGTATTAAATAGCATTATTTCATAAAGTGAGAAAGGTCTTTTTATTTCTTTCTTTATTTTTATTTGCCAAAGTGTGTGTACACCTATCAGAGAAGAGAGAGGGAGGAAGCAACTCTCCTGGGGAATTGTCACACAGAAACCCCTTCTCTTCCATTTCTCCATCCTGTGCACACACACACACACACACACACACACACACGCGCGCACGCAAACAGAACTGGCATGTTTTTCAAGTTACCAGGTCTGGGACTCAACCCCTGCCATTGGCCATGTGGGATCCAGCTCCCTTAACCAGTAGGCCATGGGTAGTTCATTAATCTTTTTGTTTTTCTAGGGAAAAAGTCTCATTTGGTACTAGCACTCCTCAAAACATGTGCACGTATTTCTGGTTTAAAAAAGGGAATGAAATTAAATTAAAGGAGGTTCAGATTTTGGCAGAAAACATTACCTAGTTAGAATTTAATATTACTTGGTTTCATTGTGTTCATTACTCATTTGCTTTAGAAAACTTGTTGTTAAATTATGAAACATTTCAAACAGAAAAATATAGGGAATAATATCACAAACACACATGAACCTGTTCCCAGATTTAATAAATGCTAATATTTTGCCACATTTGTTTAAGATTGTATCAGTCATAGTTGACAAGACAAGCAGGAAGCAAAACCTCTAGGATGGAGATACATTTATGTGTATATGTGTGTGTGTATATATATGTAATTGATGAATAATTAATTGGTGTATTTGACCATTTTGTGTGGGAGCTGGTTCAGTGGTCCCTGTAGGGCCGTTGTCTTTTTTTAAAGAGATATTTGCTATAGGGCACGTGTCCTTGCCAGAGAGACAAAGAGAGAGAGAAAGAGAAAGTGAAAATCCCCTCCCCAAAGGGGATGGCCACACCACAGTCCCTTCTTCTCCATCCTCCTCTCGGGATTTTGGGCATGCACGCACATACCTGGTGTGAGTTTTAAGCCACCAGGTCCGAGACTCGAGCCGTGGTCCACAGTGTGAGAATACAGTGACGTAACCCTTACACCACCTGATGGTCCCTGCATGTTACAGTCTAGGAAGCCCTGAACCATTGTAATTGTGTAGTGCTATAAAATTTACTGTTGACTTCAGAAGTATTCCACTTGACCCTCAGGGGAGGTTAGATATGAATGAGTTAAAGCATACCAGTAGTGTCTGGTCTTACTGGAAGAAAACACAAGGTTTAGAGACTTGATTTGCTCAGGTCTACAGGTTCTATGGTTTTCACACCTCACGAGGACTGATGTTTAGGGAATTGACTTGGCTAGTCCAGGAAGCGTGGATCCGGAGTAGTTAGCAACTTGTGAAGGGTCTGGAACACTACAAAACTTACTTGTCCATCAATTTTGACCTAAAAGTTTTTATTAGGTCCTTCACGGAACCAACCTTGTGGCCCTAATGTGGACAAATTAGAATGGGGAAGAAATAGTGCTTGACAGTATCAGCTATTCAGGGCAGGTAAGTGTGTTCCAAATTTTAAACATGAAAAATAGGTAGGATCAGTGAGTCAGCCAACAGGTATTTCTTGAATACCCACTCTATACTGGACACTGGGCGTCTATGCCTGTCTTCATCATTATGGTCGTGCTGTCACGTTTCTGGTTGAGGCAATTAGGTAACTGAGAACTAAGTGCATAAATGACAAACAGTAATGACAATAATAAAATCACCTTTGATTTTCCCCCCACCTTTATTTCCTCTGGGGAAATTTAAAAAGGTCTGGCCCCCACGTCGGGCGGCTCCCCTTCTCATCCTGGTTTTGCTCTGAGTGGTAGATGTCATCGTGAACAATTCACTTAGTTGCTCTGTATCTTGTTTTTCTTACTTACAAAATAAACATACGTAACCATGACTTCACAGTATAAGGCTCTGTGATGAGATCATTCACCGGAGACTTTTGGTTTCCTGAGAAGTATCATAAAAGCTCATAATGGTGTTAATCTAAAATTCCTTTTAAAACCTTTGCTTTTGGAAACTTAAAATTTCAACCCCCTAGTGCATTTTAGTCATTTCTTCTCATTATAATTACATCGAAACGGGAGGAAAAACCATCTGTGGCACTTGTTCTCCTTCCCTGGAGGTAGAGTTAGAGAAGACAATGATTTATTGGAGATGTTGTTAGTCCCACTCCAAAGCAAAACGGATGACGGTGTCTTGTTGTGGCTTTAAGGCCCATCTGCTGATGGGTGCAGTTTCATTAGATGAAAGTATGTGGGTAAATGTGTGCGTGGTCGTGTCAGAGAAATAGTAGAGAAGAATGAGAGGCTGTTTTGTCCTCTGGGGTAAAGGAGCAGGCTGTGAAATGATCACAGCCACAGGTGACCGACCAAGGAAAACCCCTCTGTGTGAGGGTGGTACATACGTTCCTCTGGCTGGGTAAGTGCTAAACCATCTTTGACGTCCTATGACCGTATGACCCACATGTGTGGCTCTGCTATGGAGGACCTAACAATCGGTGTGCAGAGTTTAAGCCTCGCCTCTGTGACTTAATCCCCATTGATCACCCGGTATCATTACCTCCTGTCTCTGTGGTCTCCCTTACGTGAGCAAAGCTGAGCATGGATGCCAGAGGGAGACAAAAAGTCTGGCACTGTGCTGGCCCTGTGGCCTGGTGGTTAAGGGAGCCCGGATCTCACATGGCCGACCCTGCAGTTCTATTCCTGGGCCTCAAAAAACAAGCTGGGCCTGTGTGTGCCTCAAATTCCAAGAGGGTGGGGAAATGAAGGAGGTGGGATTGTGGAGTGACCGTGCCTCATTGGAGGGTGCTTTCTCCCTTCCCCTCCTCTCTGTCTCTCTCTGATGAGTGCATGCACCCTCTGGCTAAATTAATTTTAAAAAGGGAAAAGGAAAAAAATAAAGGAAAGGCTATGTTATTGAGGCTGGTACTTCATGAAGAGTTGCAAGTTTCTGACTCTTCTGATGACAGAAAGATGTGGTCCTGGGACCAGTAGTTAGCATAATGGCTATGTTGCTGGACTCCCATGTAGTCAACTGCGGTTCAAGTCCCGGACCTGGTAGCTTAAACTCACTCTGGGCGTGTGTGCATGCGTGCCCAAGATCCCAAGAGGAGAATGGAGGAGAAGAGATTGCGGTGTGGCCATCCCCCCTTGGGGGGGGTGATTTCTCACTTTCTGTCTCTCTCTGTCTTTCTGATGAGGTCATGTGCCCTATAGCAAAAACCTATCAAGGAAAAAAAAAAAAAAAGAAAGAAGGAAAAAGAAAAAGAAAGAAAGGTGCGGCCCTGTATGTTCTGTTGAAGACCTTGAATGTGTGTGTGTGTGTGTGTGCACGCATGCACGGGATAGGCAGGAGAGACATTACAAAGGCTGGGAGGAAGCAGAAGTGAGGATGGTGGAAAGTGCTTATTCTGCTCACAAGTTGCTGGACTAAGACTGGTTAGATGCTGGTTAATACAGATATCGCTGCTTAGCTAGGTCTCACTGTCCCCTACATTATGAACAGGGGTATACATCACCACTTCTTTGGTTTTCAACTGCTTTCTCTAGTTTCTCTTGAGAGTTGTGATTTCTTACTGAAATGATTAAAGGATCCTTCAAAGTCTTTCCTCTTTACCTAGAGCATTGCTTATCCTAGAATAATCCAGACAAAGATATGATGTATTAAGATGTATGTAACAGGAACTTCACACAGAGCACTGTAGAAGCGTGCGCGGTTGTTCCTGGTGTTCTAGCCAGCATTATTAGTGTGCGGAAGCATGTGCTGGTATTATTAGTATTCCAGGCACTGTTCAAAGTTCCTGTTAAATACATATTAACATACCGAATTTTTGTCTGGATTTTTCTAGGATAAGCACTGTTCTAGGTAGAGAGGAAACGCCCTGATGGGAATGTCCTCATTCACTTGGTGAGTGCACGAGCCCTGGGTTATTTGCTTTGGAAGCCAGAGGTGAATCAGACATAGATTCTGCTTTTAAATATATTCTAATAGAAAACATAATGAAAGCCAATACATAAATATTAATTCTGTGAAGAAAATTATACATGCTCTAGAAATGTCTAGACGGAACTTTGGGGGTAGGCAAAAGCTGGAGAGGACCTCTAGAAGCATTAGAGAGGTGGTAAGGAGGGCTTCATGGAGGTGATATCGGAGTTGCATGGTGGAGGATGGGAAAAGTTCGAACACAGTAGGACCAAGTGCCCATCAGGTGAAGAATTAGAAAAGAGCAGTCACAGAGAAAGCGGCTCGAGGTGCTGTACCTGTCTGAAGGCTGTGCTTTCACCAGAGCGTGTGTTTTGAGTTGTCTCCTTCTGTGTTCCCCTGCCCCATGTTTTCCATTTCTTTACACCCATCCATTAAATTTCAGCAGATTGTAATCAGGAGGGGCTGATACTAAATGGGTAAAAGTGACTTTGTAATTATAGCTGCTGCTAAATGTGTCATTTATCCGTTCTTGTAGTTATTAAGGTTTTAATTTTTATAAGCCGATTGCCTCCTGTTCTAAAGTTTCCTTAATAGTATGCAAATAGGGGCCAGGAAGCACACCAATCTGGGGACGTGTTTTCCTCTGCGTTTGATAATAGGTCACCTACACAGACTGACCTCTGGGAGCTTCGCACATCCCCAGAGAGGCCCGTGGTCCATCAACTCAGACTGGGACCATCCTCCGTCCTCTCTGCGGTACCGAGCGTGGAAACATCACATCTTGGGTTTTACGTTAGCGCTCTCTCTGACACACACAGTGTCACAGCTTCTTCTCCTTCCTTGACAGTTATGCCATCACGGTAGTGGCAGGTCTCTCCATCTCTTTATGCCTCAGTCAGCTCCTCTCACCCATCCAGTGGGCGTGTTTCTACATACTTCATACATTTTTTTCTTTAAAAAATATTTATTTAAGAATTATTTATTTAACTTTATTTATTTATTATTATTTAAATTTGCTATATAGCACATGTATTCTTCAGAGAGAGAGAGAGCGAGAGCGCGAGAGAGAAATAAAAAGCAAGCTTCCAGGTCCAGGACTTGAACTGTGGTCAGCCATGTTGGAGTCCAGCACCTTAACCCCCACACTCTCTGCTGGCCCCAGACTTCATACTTTTTAAACAGTTGTTCTGTTTAAAAGTATTTTAAGACAGTAAAATAATAGGGATAGTAGTTTAATTATAATTTCTAATTGACGTAATTCTTGTGCATATTTGTGGGAAGGAATAGATCATTTTAAAAATAAGTGTCTCTTGCTTTAAAGAGCAGACTAATAATCTGTGTGTGTGTGTATGTTTTAAGAGAGATTTTTGCGATAGGGCATGTGTGCTTACCAGAGATACAGAGAGAGACAGAGAGACACAAAGTGAGAAATCACCCCTCTGGGGGAATTGGCCACAACACAGTCCTTTCTCCTCCATTCTCCTCTTGGAATTTTGGGCATGCATGTGCATGGGCCCAGTGTGTTTTAAGCCACCAGGTCTGGGATGTGAACCGCAGTCAACTACATGGGAGTCCACCAAGGTAACCCTTATGCCATCTGCTGGTGCCAGTGTGTGTGTGTGTGTGTGTGTGTGTGTGTGTGTGTGTGTTTTAAGTAAAAAATTTTTATGTATTTATTTATTTTAAATTGCTGTAGGGCATGTGTGCTCACCAGACAGAGAGAGAGAGAGAGAGAAAGTGAGAAAGCAAGTTGCCAGGTCCAGGATTTGAACCATGGTCAACTATGTGGGAGTCTAATGCCCCAACTACTATACAACCTGCTGGCCCCTAGAGTAAATTTTAAACTTGCAATAATTGTCCAACAATGAGAGCTAATATAAATGGAAACCCATAGCATAAAAAGGCTATATACAGCTTGGTGGGTTTATAAATCCAGGGGTGAGTACCTATAAAGTTCAGAGTAGTTAGTGACAAATAGCATATGTGTTCAGTAAATGTTTCATGACAGAATCGGTGAAATTCTTTTTGGACCAACAACTGTGATTAGATGAAGCCAAGATTAAATACATCTGAAGGTTATGAAATGACTGTCTATACCTGGCCTTTTTAAATTAAAAAAATGTATCTTATATATATATTTTATTTTATTTTTGCCTTAAGTTGCATGCACTCACTGGAGAGAGGCAGAAAGAAACATTAAGAGGGAAAATGAGAAATTACTTCCCAGAAGAGATGGCCAAACCACAGTCTTTCTCCCCCATTCTCCTCCTAGGATTTGGGCACACATGCACGTGTGCCTTGAGTGATTCTCAAGTTGCCAGATCCAAGACTTAAACCACAGTCTGCCATGTAGAGTCCAGACCTTAACCACTGTGTCACCTATACATGGTCTTTTGAATTTCTTTAAGTCTTATATGAGGGGCCAGCAGGTGGCATAGTGGTCAAGGGCACTGGACTCCCAAGTCCTAGACCTGGTGGTTTGCTTTCTTACTCTCTCTCTCTCTCTCTCACTCACTCTCACTCTCATTCTCACTCTGTCCCTCTCTGGTCAAATTAAAATAAACAAAGTTAAATAAATTCTTGATAAAAATCTTATGAGTTATAGACTGTATTTTAAAATAGTGCCTATTCCTGTACGCGTGATGCTCACCTGCTTTTTCTTTTAAGAATTATTTTTAAAATTTTATTCGTCGTCATTATTTTTAAAATTTGATATAGGACATGTGTGATCACCAGAGAGAGACAGAGAGAAAGAGAGAGAGAGAGAAAGTGAGAAAACAAGCCACCAGGTCTGGAACTCGGACTGCGGTCAGCCCTATGGGAGTCTAGCGCCTTAACCACCATGCCACCTGCTGGCCCTGCTCACCTGCTTGAACAAAGCAATACTTTGTTGTATGTACTGTTTGTGGGACTCTTAACTATGCCATGTAAGGTGTCTTGTTTGGATCATGAATCCAGGGCCAAGATACTCCTGGCTTCCTGGTATTGTATGTGAGCTGAAGATTTAGTACTGAGTAGACAATGCCTGGAATGCTCGTCTTCTACGTCAGAGTCAGTAAGGCCCCCCCTCGCCCTAATAAAGCATAGCAGCCCTAGCATCAGCCACTTCGCAAATGTAGAAGGCAATCCCTCTGAAACAGAAGTGCTGTGTTTATAGTAGATCATGAAACTTCCTTCTCACGTTGTTCTCCTTTGTTTCTGTGGCTAATTTCTATAGTTCATAAAAACACAAAGACAAGAAACCGATCTTGCCAGAGTGGCAGGCTCCCTCAGCGAGTTTCCAACACAGATGGCAAAGGTCTGCAGCGAGCTGTGTTGTGTGTTTGCTCTTTCAGCTCTATGTGGCCACGGAGGCCATCCTCATCGCACTGGTTGGGGCCACTCCGTCGTACCACTGGGACCTGGCAGAGCTCCTGTCCAATCAGACCCATGGCAATCGGTCAGCTGGTGAGGCGCAGGCCTTCGGGGACTGGCTCCTGACGGCCAACGGCAGCGAGATCCACAAACACGTGCATTTCAGCAGCAGCTTTACCTCCATCGCCTCCGAGGTAACCCCCGCCCACTCTGATCACGGAGAGAATGCTTCTTCCTGTCCAGGTGGAGCTGCGTGTTTTGTCTTGTTGCTTTAAATTTCAGCCACGTCTTCAATAACTTCCTAGTAATTTAAGAGTTGAAGGATTTTACATATCAAAGGAAACTGTCCTATGAAAACACACCCTTTTTCCTCGTTACTACACATGGGAGAAGCATGAATCCCCAAAGGAGTTAGATGAAATAAGATACAAACTCAAAGAACCGTGTTTTGCCTGTAACATCCTTTTCAAAAAAGTGAATGAAGGGACGAGCAGATGGTGTAACGATTAGTCACTAGACTCCCACATGGCGACCATGGTTTGAGACCTGGCAACTTGAAATTCACGCCAGGTGTGTAGGCGCGTGTGCGTGTGTGCCCAACGGAGAATGGAGGAGAAGAGATTGCGGCGTGTCTATCCCTACTCGGGGGAGGGAGGTGATTTCCCACTTTCTGTTCTCTCTGTCTCTCTGGAGGGCGCACCCATCTATAGCAAAAATCTCTCTGAAAAAAAAATTGAATGAAAACTTTCATCTCTATTATATACATATGCAAAAGCGGACAGAATAACGAGGGAGTAATGCAATGACCCATCTTTAACATCCATCGTTCGTTTTTAAGTCCAATCCTGTGTGTAGATCACATGGGCACTGTGACAATTTAAAATAGAAATGGTACCACCTAGTGTGGCAGGAAGTCTTACTTTCAGGAGAACTAGTCAAGGAGAAGGTTCTGGACCTTCTGAATCAGCCAGGGGTAAAGAAACTGAGGGTCTGATGAAGGGAAACCCTGGGAAAGAAGGGGCAGGACTTATTCTCAGCTGGAAAGCACTGTTCTGGTTGTTGAAATAGTCCTGACATATTGCCTACTCCCTGTGAGCTGCTCACGTGTCTGTCCCCTCCCTGACCCTGTCCTTGGGCCCCGTGATCCAGTAAATGGGGCAAATGTCTGGTGCAGCAGGACACCTCAGGGACCCTTGCCAGCTCTCAGTTGTGATTGCCCTGCAGTTGGCTCACCTCAAACCTTCTAAAATCACTCTCCTGCATAGACACCAGAGAGCCTGCCAGATGGGCCGCATCATCCTCAGTCCACCAGGCCTAGAAGCCACCCTCTTCTGTGTGTGTGTGTCTGTTTTTCTGTCTGTCTGCATGCACCTGCCCCCTGCAAGCCTTCCCTGTCATTGAATATTTCAGTTATCATCCTTTGAGTGGGGCCTCCTAAAAACCTGGATGTGCTGAGGGTGGTATTTGCTTGGCCCTTCCTTAGGAGACCCCCATCGGAAGGGATGATGCTTGATTAACTTTTCTGGCAACCTCCAAAGCAACTTTTCTGACCACACCCCAGGTCTGTCACCCCTCACCCAGACACCTCCAGTGACTCTCCCACTGCACACAGAACACAGGGACCCTGCGTGTTACATCATAGCCCTTCTACTTCACAGCTTGGTCCAGGCATGCTTTTCCAGCCCCATTCTGCACATCGCTCTGCCCCCGCCTTCCTGGGGATATTTACTCTTT